TATAACAAAAATTAGTTTTAGGTGCTGGGCAGACAGCTGACTGCTTACAAGCAGGTGCTCCTGTAGGAAAGGACCTGGGTGTAGGAGGCTCACTGTCTGTGGCTCCACTTCCAGGAGGATCTGATGTCTCTCAGTTTCCATTGGAAACCATCATGCTTATAGTGGAATAAACTCACACAGACATACCCATAAATAAAGAGAAAAAATTTAAAATGAGTTCACAGGGTGCAAGGTGTGGGCTCTGGGCTTGAGTTACACGGCAGAGGATGACGGACTTTCATGGAATCACAACAACGGAAGAGGACCAGGAGTCACTAGCACAAGGATCCCCATAACAGGAGAGAGAGAGGGGGGGGGGGAGAGGGAGGGAGGGGGGGAGGGAGGGAGGGAGGGGAGGGAGGGAGGGAGGAGGGGAGGGCGAGCAGTCTTTACAGGGCACCGCAGCCCCACAGCTGGTGAGTTCTAGCAGAACTGCCCCTGTAACTATCTGGTTAGAACTCTCTGCTTAAGAAAAAGCAAAATATACCCATAATTTTAGTCAAAGGCAAAGTCAGAAACAGTCCGGCCTTCCTTTGGGAGTGAGGGCCCTGAGATAGTGGCCACTCTGGCTTATGACTCAGCAGCACGGAGACCGGCAGGAAGGCCAGTTCTGTCTTTGAAGGAGAAGAGACATCATGTCCCTCAGAAAAGGACATTCTCATTATGTTTCCAATACAGTATTAGTTACAACAGTATTTTTTTGGGGGGTGTACTTTTTTCTTTTTTAAAGAAAAGGAATGGTGGCTGTGGAGATACACATGATAGAAAAAAATAACACAATAAACCAGACAGACTGAGTCATTACCAAATGTCTTCTAGTGCAGTGGGCTGGTCTGATGCTGCTTGTATTCTAGCTAAATACTGGCTCTTCACATGTACCAAGTGATGCTATGTAAGTAAACCTTGCTCCCCAATGTAACTGGTCAATAACAGGCTAGAGCCTGTGATTGGGCAGTGGAGGGAGAAAGGTGGGACTTGACGACAGAGTAAGGGGGTTTCAGGTAGAGAGAGAGGAAAGAGGAAGAAAGGACATGGAGGTGGAGGGGGTTTCCATGAGAGGAGATGGACCATGAGCACATGGCCAGGAGAAACAAGGGACTGAGAAATAGGTTAGAATAGCTCCAAACCTGCCCAATCTAGGCTTATGGCTTATAAATAAAATACCTGGAGAGTGTGTCTTTTATATGGGCTAGCTAGAATGTTTAATTATTTTTACAATTTAGCCATGAGATCATTTCCTTTCTACTGAAAATAAGGAAATAAGATGACAATTTCTGGAGGTGTTATATTGAAAAGTTGTACCTGACTCGTGGTATCTCTAAGGCAAAGAATGGCAAGAACAGGTCTTCATCAACACATGAAGAGTATTGGCCTGTTACTGCTACATCTCAACCCTGCATCCAATTCCTAGTGGCCAAGTCTTTGACATCCATGGTCATAATGTCTATTTTGTTTTCAGACATTCTGCAAGAAACTTGTGAAAATTAGTTCAATGCCTGGAATTCTCTCAGTCTCTCCCTATTCCTCTCCCCCCTTCTCTCTCTTTTTCTTTCTTTGTTTCTTTCTTTCTTTCTTTCTTTCTTTCTTTCTTTCTTTCTTTCTTTCTTTCTTTCTTCCTTCCTTCCTTCCTTCCCTTCCTTCCTTCCTTCCTTCCTTCCTTCCTTCCTTCCTTCCTTCCTTCCTTCCTTCCTTCCTTTCTTTCTTTCTTTCTTTCTTTCTTTCTTTCTTTCTTTCTTTCTTATGACAACAACCAGGATAGACCTAACAGCAGGAGCCTTAGAAAAAAGTACTTGACTGTGGGAAATACTAGCACTGTGTTGCTTACTTCACCAAAGGATCACACTGCTGTTGAAGGCTTATGATTTTGCTGACATTATTTGAAATGGTTCTAACAGTGAGTGTTGTACTAATACTGGCTAAAAGTCTCATGGTACAAATAGTGGATCACCAAGAAGGAAATTGAAAGATTGTGTCTGGAGGAAGTTGTGGAGGTCTGAAGTCAGAACTTGACATGATGACAACAGTGGTGATGAAGTTGCTCATATGTCATCTCCCAAAGCCGCCCACGAATCTAAGAAGACCTAACTGAGGGGAGAGCATGTAGCTCTGCATCTCCGCATGACAGAAACCAGTAGTCACAGAGGCAGAAAGTGGCAGTCAGATTCTCAGCAATATGCTTTGACTATGGGGTAAGGCCCTTCAGTGGGCAAGATGGAGACTAAAGCTGGTGTGGTGGTGTTCCCAAATGAAAGACACAAAACCTTTCTATTTATAATAAGCCTTAAAGCCCTAGAGCTGGGCAGATATCCACCCTCCAGGCTATTTTATTCTCGGAACCCCGTGATATCATTCACCATGTTCCGACTGGATGACTCCTACTCCCAACAGGCTGATCCTTACGGCTGATGGTCAGATTGATGGCATGGCCCCTGTTCACCTGCCTGTGCATATTCCCAAGAGTGACCTTATGCAAGGACACTTTTGATAAGGAGCACAGGTCAAGAAGGTGAAGCAGAGGTAGGCTTGAGGTTCAGTGTATTTACAGGGTATAGATCCTCAAGAAGGGATTCAGGACAGCAGTCAGCATGCAGAGCACACCTGTACTGACACTGAAGCTGCAGGGCCCTTTCAACCTGCACAGATTGTTGGCTTTGCTAAGCTTCTTCCACTTGAAATGTGCTACGCTTCACTTTCAGGGAGGAAGCTCATGGGGGCCACTTGGCAAGGCAGTTAGTACTGGCTGACTTTACTGACTCTGATGGCTTAAATAAAAATAGAGAACTGAGAAACCAGTCAACAGTCCTAACTGCCATGTACCTCAATTCAGGGAAGCAATCTCATATTATGACATCCAAATCAAAAGCCACAGTGCGTCCTGTGGGCCTCGACACTGACATACTCCTGAGTTTATCCTTTTCTGTCTAAAGAGCTGGCCCAGGCCACACAGGAGGAATGGTTAATTAGGATGATGGAAGTCAGGGCGGACAGGTGGGCGGGGAGGGGCAGATGAATGGCACTGCCTCCACATGGATGTACAAACAATGTAAAGAATAACTCCTTAATGCAAATGATTTATACCAAGAACTGGAAAGTCCTCAGCATACTCAACAGCTATCAGGAGCATGTTGTTAACACTCTCGGTGGAATGTCAGAACCCTGAGGAGACTCAGAACAGCGGAAGTGTCAATATCATCACGACAAGGAACAAGACAAAGTGGTGGCATGACAGTCTCTCTAGAGTTGTCTGAATTTTAGTGACTGTAACTATCAGAAGTAAAGCTTCCGTTGGCTCAGTGTTGCTTGTAACAGCTTCAAGTGAAACCCCAGAGGACTGCAGCAAAGCTGGCCCTAAAGAACCTAGCCATAATTAAAAAATTCGAACAATGTCTTGGCCACAAACCTTTGAAGTAAAGATAATTGCTCCTTACACCCCTCTAAAAATCTAAATTAAAAAAATCCTCCCAAGTGAAGGTTATTTTCCTGGAGGTGATTTTGAAAACATGGGCCATAATTCTGGTTCTTAAGAGGAAAAAATAATAATCCTTTATTACATTTGGATGAGATTTTATTTTTAGGAATCTCCGCCTGGCTGTGAGTGGCCGCTGCCCACTGGAGTTATTCACACTTCCTCCATCACAGGGAGCTCATGTGTAACAGTCTGAACTTATGGGATGGGCTGGAACTCTTCATTCTAGCCTAAGGGATATCAGTCTCTATAAACCGCAAACTCTTCCTCCCTCGAGAAGTGTCTGGGACGAGGCCTTTCCATTTCTCTGTAACCTCCCTTACACAAAACAAAGCCTGTGGCACTACTGACTACACCACTTGGCCTGAAAGTTTATATGACAAGGGAAAGACTTCTCCAGAACACCAGGGAATACCAGCTGCCCAGTTCCATGGTGGGAGAGCAGGAGTATTAAAGGCAGAGAGCCCTTTGACACCTGACTGAAGGCGAAGCTGCTTCAATAAGAGATGACAGAGGTTCCGCTCAGCTGTTGCATCGTGAAGCCAGGCTGAATACAATACTTCAGTGAGGGGGTGTGGAGTGTTCCTGGAAAAGTTTATTTCATAAATAAGCAGGAGGGGGGATGTGGCCCATCCCCCGGTCTAGAATTGTAGGTGCTCCAAGAGAGTCTCAAAGTGCAATTAAAATTGATTAGGCCATGGTGAGGTTGCAGAGCAAGTCGGTGTACCTGCGGGTGCTTGCCAGTTCTCACAGTGAACACTTGTCTTAAGCTTCTCAGGGGCTGCAGTTTCATCTCTACTATAGTACAGATAGCTAAGCCGGCTGACTAGCAGACAACTAGCAGATACTATGGAAAACTTTTGGAGTGCTAAGCCAAAAATCGACAGTTTTCTCCTTCATACCAAATTTAGCAAACTAATATAAGATTTTCCCTTGGGTAGTAGGATTTGCAGAATTTTTTTGAAACATTTTTTAAATTTAATTTTATCTTTTTCACTTATTCACTCTACATGCTACTCACTGGACCCCCCATCCTCCACCCCCTTCTCCCCTGAGTGGGTGGAAGCCCCCCTGGGTATCCCTCCTCAACCCTGGCACTTCAACTCTTACAGAGAAAGTTTTAAAAATATGACTGGGCTGAATATTTATATTAAACGTACAAACTGTCTCATTAATTTTTCTGATTAATCATAAAAATTCTTAGTGTAGGATGTTTCGATCATACACTACATGGCACCCTGCCCCCCGTAAGTTAGAACTATCTTTTTGAGTAGGGACCCAGGGACCCAGCCAGAAGCTGCTCCCGGTTGCTTGTTCTTGTCTGATGGGATGCTTATAAAGATAACTGCTTAATATATGATTATTCAGGGAAACCACTTTCCAAGGACATTACTCATTGTATGCTGAGGCATTTACCACTATCTCGACTCCACGGCGTGTGTGGAAGCCTCTGCGGTCACAGCCATGCACTGCTGGGACTGGACAGCACACTTACCCTTCTCTGCTCCCTCACATACTCCACCAGCTCGTCCCTCGTTCTCTTGACGGCTTCTTCCATGGCTTTTTCGCTTCGCCTCTGCTCCTCTACGATTGCGGCCTTGACAGCTTCCTGTTTGGGAAGGAGAGCACAGTGAGTGCAGCAAGCCCCAGATACACCTGTGCCACTTATGTGAGTATGTGAAAGGCCTCTCCAGCAGGTGCAGCTTGCTCTCTTCCAGGCCAGGCTTTACAGAGCTGCAACAGCTTTTGGGAACTGTTAGAGGCATTAGGAGGAGAGAAACAGAGTTAGTTATTTCCTGCAGGATTCAGCGAGGATAACAGAGGCCACTTGGCTCCTCTGTAGCCTGTCCCTCCTGCTTTCTCTTCATCAGACTGCCTCCTTGTCCTCTGTATCCACACAAGACTTCAAACTCAACACGTACTCTTCTAAGAACATCCTGAAGTCCAGTGGCCTTCACCCATATTGAGCTCTGTCCAACACAGTCATCAGATGTGGTCTGAGGAGTAAGTTATAGCTACCTTAGCCAAGTCAAGATGCTGATAGCTGAACACCAGCTAAGAGTCCACACTGTTAGCTGCTATCTGAAATGAGAGCTCTAGGGAGGGAAGAGGAACTTATTGCCTTATTGATAGCTAATATTCCAAGAAGGACAAACAGACTTCTCAGAAAGCAACAATATTTTCTGCAAAATAGTGCTTTATTGTTATATTTCTAGTTAAAAGTAAATAAAATAAAAAAGTGGTGTGTGACTCAAATGAATGCTAGAGAACACAAGTACTAAACTCCCAGCACAGATGCCTGGCAGGTTTTCACTGGGTAACAGCACCCATGGGTGTTCTCATCACTTCTGATTCTTGACGGCTCTTCCCACCGTAAGGTCTATGTGTGTTTTCTCAGTTTAGACATGTATGTATGACCCAGAGTATATAAAATAATGATCCACTGTCACAAGTTTCTTTACTGTAGAAATTCTGTAGAATGCAGGAAATGAGCATACAGTGATACAGGTACAAACATGTAAGCACATGCATGTACGCCTGTAAACATTCAAAAGTGTAGATATGCAAGCATGAATACAGAGTAGGAAGGGAACTGGATATACAGAGAGAGGACTACACTGCACATTCTATCTTACTCCCAGCATTTTTTTAGGCTTGTATTCTTTTATAGTATGACATGTATTCCTTTATACAATTGTGTAATGACTCGTTTCTTTTTACCAGTTCTTAATTAGTAAACCACATTTACCGTGTGGTTAAGGTTTCAGAGTAAATGCATGACTTATTCGTTTTATTTCTGTGCATATTTAATGCAATTAATCATTATTTTCAAAGCTACACATAGTTGCAGAAAGCCATAGAAAGCAAGTGATTACGAGAGTTGAATGTCAGGTTTCAGATGCCACAGAGTTCTTATCTGTGTTCAGCACCCTGCTCATGTGTCCGTTTGTCAAAGTATCTGCTAACTACCCAACAGTATGTGTAATGTACGGTTCCAGACCCTGGAGCCTCCTACGTCCTTCTTTAGGTGAGCTGTAAATTACCCACACAAACAGAACAGAAACAACAGTGTAATAAGAGATTTCAAAAAATGGATGATGCTGACACTAACTTCAGGAGTTTCTAGATGATGGGACAGTGGACCCTGAATTACACATAAGCAAAATGGTGTCCTCAGGAGAGAATCTTATTCTTTGCAATAGACAGTCTGCATTGGTTAAAAAACAAACTAACCTCTTATTGATATATTATTTGCTTGTTGATATATTGATTTCCACCATTGTTATAAAATTAGAAAGTGTGGCCCTGTTGGAGTAGGTGTGTCACTGTGGACCTGGGCTTTAAGACCCTCATCCTAGCTGCTTGGAAGCCAGTCTTCTCCTAGCAGCCTTCAGATGAAGATGTGGAACTCTCAGCTCCTCCAGCACCATGCCTGCCTGGACGCTGCCATGCTCCTGCCTTGATAATAATGGACTGAATCTCTGATTCTATAAGCTGGCCCCAATTAAATGATGCCCTTATAAGAGTTGTCTTGGTCATGGCATCTGTTCACAGCAGTAAAACCCTAACTAATAACATTTTGTTAAACTACTTGGCCTAGAAACCCTGTAGGATTTAGTCCCTGGTGTGTTAGAAAAGCATCTGCCAGCAGCTGGTTTCAGCCATGGCTCTCTATGCTAGGAAACTGGGAATGATGAATATGCTATGATTTTTCGTGTTTGAGTTTGGTTTAGTCCGCCTCATGCTCCTATAAAAATTGATGTAATTGCAAGTATTAGAATAATAGTTGGGTTTAAGAGTTGGTAAATTGAAATATAATGGATCGTGGGGACAACTTTTTGTCATGTAAGAAGAATCAGTCCTGTGTGTAGAGGAATTCCTTGTGTTGCTTCAGGAAGTCAGTAGTGAGCTTAGTTAGCTCACTACTCAGCTCTACAGGTCCTTGATTTGTCTGTGATCACCTGCTGAGTTTACTAGGACTGTCCACAACTACAGCGGCGTAAAAAGACGTGCATCAAAGGCAGGGATGGCTTGTTTTCTTTTCTTGGTCACCCATCCTCTAGAAAGGAAGATGCTTAAAACCATTCATTCATTCATTCATTCATTCACCATTTTGCAGAAAATCCCGTTGTACTTTCAAACAGAGTGAAAGGCTGGAGGCCATCTATGACTAGTCAGGGGATGGTGCAGGTACTGTCACTGTGCTGCTTCCCAGTTCTCTCTCACTTGTCTGTGGCCTTCTCAGGAACATCCAAGGTGCCACACACTTCATATGGATTTGCTAGCCACTGCTGATATCCTGGGCTCTCCCTCAGCCACATTCTGTAGCTGTAAACACTGCTGAGAACCAGATCCGGCTGGTTTCTCCTCACTGCTGCACTGCTGGGGTCTTACTCTAGAGTTCCAACCTTTGACAATGTACCTTCTGCAATGGAAGTCACACTCAAGAATCATGAGTTTGAGATTTAAAAAAAAACTACAAAAACATCAAACTTAAGTAAATTTTTTTATTGGGCTCAATTCCTACCTATCCTGGGGCAGTAGGGCCTGTGGGATATAGGCTGGGCACACTGTCGGGAGTCTATGAAAATACTTACATATTTTCTTCATTTCCCAAAAAGTTTTATTATGAACCTAGCTATGGGCTGATCCAAACATGGGCTTTAATAATCAAGAAAGTTGCATATTTTAATTCTGGACTTAATAAAGTAATGAAAAAAATCACTACAGAGTCACAACTACCCAGTTTCAATTGCTCTGAGTTCCATAAAGCTATAGGGTCTTTTGATGGACTGCCTGGTTCTTTTCTATATCTTCATGGATTTATTTTATCTTTCAAAACTATCATTCCTATTTTTACGTTTTATACATTTTAATTAAAGTATGATTATATCACCATCGGTTTCTTCTCTAGAGCACCATCTAAGATCCTTCCTTCTGTATCCTCTCCATATTCCCAAACTGACAGCCTTTTTATTATCATTGCATAGACCTATGTTATATGTAGGTAAATAGACACATATAGCTACAACTTTGAGTCTGTTTCTGTTGGTGTGGATATGGTTTCAGGGCTGACCACTATGCACTGGACATCCAGGAACATAACCCATCTCTAAGAGGGCTATCCTCCTTCCCCTAGAAGTCATTAGTTGTTCGTAGTTCCGCGTCTCAGGGTGGGACCCATGAAGATTCCCCACCCTCCAGTGCAGCACGTCGACTGATGTTGCCATTGTCTTGGCCTTGTTTATGCAGCCTTTCCTAGGAAAGACTGTTTCACATCGGGATCCCTGGAATTCTGGCTCTCACACTCTTCCTGGCCCTCTTCCACGACGCTGCCTGGGCCTTGAATGCAGGAGCTATCCATGGGAGATGGGCTCCCCACAATCTGCTGGTCACCGCGGTGGGTTCAGTTACGGATTTTCTGGGATGCTCTCCACTTGCTATACATAGAGCCGTACTTGACTAGGGATGGCAGCCACACTTATTCAGCAAAGGTGTCTCAGGGACAGGAAGGGATCTCAGGCCACACCTGTGGGATCTCAGGCCACGCCTCTGGGATCTCAGGCCACGCCTCTGAGGTTGGACTTGTGGGTTTGCTGATGGTGGCATGTTGGGGGCCCAGATTGGCCATATCTCTAAGCTTATCCTCCTCTCTGGAAGACACCTGCAACTTTGTCTTTTGACTCCCGAGTTTAATATTTTTAATATGTGTTCTTATTCTCTTGCTTTAAAAAATACAGCCTCCTGGACTAGAGAGATGGCTCAGCAGTTAAAAATACTGGCTGCTCTTCCAGAAGACCCATGTTCAATTCCCAGCATAGACATGGCAGCCCCCAACTATCTGTGACTCCAGTTCCATGGACCCGGCATTTTTTGCTGGCCTCCGTGGGTATCAGGCATACTTGTATACAGACATGTATGCAAACAAAACACCCATATAATAAAATTAAAATAAAAAAAAACTTGAAAAAGAAATACAGACTCTTCTTTGTTTGGTGTGCATGGCTCTGTCTGAGGAATCAAGGGGAGCTTTTAATAACTTATCTTCCCCAAATCTTTCCTTCAGTCTTTGTGCTCATGAGCGACCATCTCTGTTCATACTTGACTCTGCTGTGTTTAAAGCATTGCACACTAAAGAAGGGTGACAGCCTTGTGCTTACAGCTGCAGTCTGTGCCCAGACGGTAAGAACAGAGCAATCTGGACACCTTGTTTCCTTGGGGCCATTTCTCATAACAATGTACTTAGGTCTTTTATCTTGACTGTCCAGATTCCTCAAGATAAAAAGAAATCTTTCGTTTCCCATGGCCCCCAGCCTTGTGAAAACTGAGGTGGGGGTCGCTGGGGAGGGTGAGGTTCTCAACACTCAGCACAGGCACTTGCCTTTGCTGGCCCACTCTATTTTACAACAGCTAAGTTTCAACAGGCTCCTGCTCCTGATTCCCAGACCTTTGCCTTCTCCTTTCTTGCAGTCTTTTGTTCGGTTTGGGAGCCAAACCTTCCCTCTGTAGAGTCTCCCTGGAGGCCCCCGAACTGGAAACTCTCTTTGGCATTCTCACATTGGCTTGGGGCTTTGAGAGGGGAAAATAGCACCCATTCTACTACACATT